CGTGAAAAAACTGAGTTCAGATCTCCAATAGCCACATATAAAATGGATGGAAGACAGATGGTTTCCTAATGTTCATTGGATAGCCACCTTATTTGAATTTATTTGAATTGATGAGATCCAGGTTATGGAAATACCATATTTCAAAAGATAATGTGTTGTGGAGCAGCTCTTAAATCCAATCAGAAAGAAATTAGTTCATGCAACTATTGAACCAATGAGCAAATCTTGATTAGTTTGTCAGGAGCCAGCCCTGGTTAGATATAAAAGTCTCCTTTACAAGAGGCCTGGAGACCTCCATGCTTGGCTAACCACCAATTTAGTCAAACATCCCACCCCCTCCCCGAAGGTTAGTGTTCTGAGATAAACCACAAGAATTATCCCAGACACCTGCCCAGGCCTGAGGGCATTAAACACCCATTCCCCCCTCCCTCACTTCCTCTTTCTTTACTTCCTCTTTCTTTCTCTTTAAGAACTCTTTGCTTAAGTTCAATAAACAGACCTTGACAACCCATTGCTTGGTCTGGCTCTTTCTTTCTCGCCCATTTATTTTCTGGCTTAGCCCCCTGGCGACCCTCGAATTATCAGCACCCCACTGGAGGGGACATTGATTGGTTGTTATTGCAACTTGAATGGTTCATTGCTAGGTAAGACTATTGAATAATTTTCTTTCTTCCCTAGTAGTGTTGTGCAAAGTATCTTCTGGCACTGTGACAATTAACCAGGAAAGATGATGCTTCCAAGTCAGTTCCAGCTTGATTTTTTTTATTTCCTACTGAAGGGACCAGCTTCCCTTTTGGCAGCCATAATGGCCGAACACGTGCTTCTATGACCTTGTCCTAGAAACTAAAAAGTCAGATGCCTGCCTCGTGACAAGGAACCAATCAGAAGTTAGCTGGTGGTGCTATGCTTTACGACCCTGGGTGTGCTTTACGGACAAGCGCACAGCAATGACGTAGAGAGCATAGCAACCACCCTGGGAGGGCCTATGGGCCACAACAACCAGTTGACCAATCAACACAGGGCAAGCCCTCCAAGGCTGAAGGCACACCAATCGTGAGCCTGTGCATACCCCTAGACACTCCCCTTACGCTGCCCTATAAGATCTTTCGGGAGCCCCTAGGAGACGTCTTTTCTGGCCATCCGCCATGGCAGGTGGGTGAAAGACCTGAGCTAACATGGGGTTAGCTTGTTAAATTACAATAAAGCCTCGTGCAGTTTGCAGCAAGCTCTCGAATTCGCCTGGTGATTGGGGTGACCGAGAACGTGGCCTGGGACCCTGGATACTTGAGTTTTCGGGGGGGGGGTCTAACACTACAACATAAGTAAGTATATGGTGTCTTCAACAATAAAACTTAACAAGAAATTCTAGTGGGTAGATAAGACAATTGCAATAGCTTGTATATATTGGAGTTCATTGAGACCCTGTTGATCAGCAACTTGAAGGGAGTCAACCCTTACCTGGAAATGTGTTTTTATTTCCTGATAGCCTATGACATCAGAGATAAGCATCACCAACATCATATATGGTAATTAAGACAGAACACTGTTAACTAGATCTCAAACCCTTGGTTGTGTAGGTCATGTGCCCTAGAGCAGAATCTATTACTATTGCTCTGGTAAAGGAACATAGTAATAAATTGCTCCCAAACTTCCCTAAATACCCATCTTTTAACACATAGCAGCTCTCTGTCCTCATCAGAGAAGTTACTTTTTATATTAGATGGTGATTAATATAGAGACACACAACTAGCAAAATATAGAGAATAAGATACTGTGGAGTAGCCAGTTGGGCACATTATCGTATTCCTCCCCAAAAGATTGAGGATTCATCCTGGAAGAGGGACTGAAAGATTGGAAGAACTTGAGGTAGTAGGTGACTTCTGTGAAAGTTTTCTCCAAACATGACACATCCTTGACACATGAACGCATAGCAGCTGTGATGGAAAGGACTGGACCTGTGCAAGGTCAAGCCAGTCTAAAACCCAGCAAAGGTGAGGAAGGGATTGCCAAGGCAAAGTCCTTCCCCTCACTGAAAAACTACAGGTCATTGATGACCACTGGAGGAGAGAGTCTGTTTTCCTTCGGTGTTGTCCTTGATAAACTGTCCATGTCCCAGTAGATGATGCTACACAACATTTTCACTGACAGCACTGAATTAATTCAGTAGATTTTAAAGAGAATATATGAAGTTCTGAGGGATAAGTACTGCTGTGTGAGAGGAGCTGAAAGGTGGATTTGATTAAAAGAACACATTATACTCATATATGAAAATTTTTAAACAATAAAACTTAAAAAGTAAGTGCAGAGTTAGAGAAGAAGTCACCTAACATGGACCTCTGGCCTCTCCACACATGTGCCCACATATGCAAGGCACACCTACACACCCATGTGAATAGATACATAGCAGTGCCCACACCCATGTGAGCATATAATACAGTACCCACACAAATAATTTCATGAAATATCCAAAATGTCAAACTAGTTAAAATTACAGAGATTATATGATCATTTGGCCTAAGTAAAAGACAGTCCGTTCTCTAGCCAGGAAAGGAGAGATGGAGAGACAGAGAGTAAGGGATGAAATTGTTAGACCCCCGGAAAAACTCAGGTATCTGGGGTCCCAGGCCACGACTGCGGTCACCCTAATCACCAGGCAGATTTGAGAGCTTGATGCAAACTAAATGAGGCTTTATTGTTTTTTAACCCATGTTAGCTTGGGTCTTTCACCCACCCGTCATGGCGGATGGCTAGCAAAGACCCCCTCGAACCGGCTGCCGAGTGATTTTGTAGGGCAGCGTAAGGGGAGTGTCTAAGGGTATGCACAGGCTCAGGATTGGTGTGCCTCCAGGCTTGGAGGGCTTGCCCTGTGTTGATTGGCCAATTGGCTGTTATGGCCCATAGGCAGTCCCAGGGTGGTTGCTATGCTCTGTGTATCATTGCTGTGCACTTGTCTGTAAAGCACACCCAGAGCCGTAAAGCATAGCACCACCAGCTAACTTCTGATTGGTTCCTTGCCACGAGGTGGGCACCTAACCTCTTAGTGACCAAGGCAAGGTCATAGTGAGCACGTGTTACTGTCATGGCTGCCGAAATGGGGGGGCTGGTCCCTTCAAAATAAAGGAGGAGGTGAGGGCAGGAGAAAGGAAACACGGTTAAAGAAGGGCTAGTGGGAGGGAGGGAAGAAGGAAAGGAAAATGAAGGTAGAAAAGGAGGGAGATAGAGGGGAGAAACATTGGTAAGATGTATTTCATTCTCTTCTTTCTTTGTAGTTTATATCAAATATTTTAAACAAATCTTCTTGGGGGTAGGTGGCTTTTGTCATGGCCTGGCATGTCTCAGCCCCAAGCCATGGTAGCCATGAGGTTCGGCCTGAGTGGGGGAGTGTGGACTTGGAAACTCCTAGCAAACCAAAGCCCACACAGATCAAACACAGGCATCTTGTCATCTTTAGAGAGCTCTCAGTTCCATGCTGCAAAACTAGAGTCTCTTGTTTATTCAGCATCTTCTTGGCTGTTTCCTAACCATGCTTCCCTGGCCACAAGGCCGTTTCTCTCTCCTCCAGTGGCTCCTCTCTGGTCACTCCTAATTCTCTCTGTCCTCATTTGTTACTTACACACCTAGCCCTCTGCCCGGGTGCAGGCCTATTCAAATGTTTAGTTCTGTAGAGATGTAAACTAGGGGACATTCCCCACTGGGGCCATGCTATTCAATACAAATCAGGTAGCATCTGCTATTCAATGCAAAGCCTGAGCTCCTGTTTACTGGAACCACTGGAAATTTACTAATGGAATTTTCCTGGCTCCCAGCAAGTGGCACCTTCAACTCAGACTTGAAATTCCAGTTTGCCAGCCTACTCTAAAGGTTTCTAGTTTGCTAGGCCAACACCCTACTCCATCACACATTATACACACACACACACACACACACACACACACACACACACACACACACACACACACCCCACACACATTCACACACACACTGGAGACTTTCAATTCATACACATATATATGTATTCCTACACACACCTACCCACAACCAAGGCTTCACGTAGATTTGTGAGTCTGCTTCTGCTTCTCTTTCCTATCCGTTTACAAATATTGCCTGGTAATATCTAAGAACATATTGAACAAATTGAAAAAAAATGCTTCATGAATATAAACCCATTGATGAGAATAGATTTAAAATATATTTTTGATAATGCACACCATAGTTTTATTGCACATCCCCCTTAATTCATGACACATTGAAGATGGATATTTGCTAAACCAAATGTTTAGAGTTGGAGACCTGAGAGAATTTCTCAAAGTAGGACATAGGAATAATTCAAGGAAAATGGCTTGCCATCCATTGTTCTGTGACATATTGGTGTCATATGTCTAAATGACCTTAACTAACTTGGGCATCTAAAACAAGCTACATCTCTTAAAAGTGAGCCCTTATCTGATGAAGTCAGCTCTGCTTGCTGTTTGCATGACCTGTGAAGCTTACACCAGTGAAGGGAAGAGGTGTAATAGGCTGGAAACTCAAAATATTCTTGATAGCTCTGGGCATTGTAAGAAGTTGTAAGTCAGGCATGAGGTCTGCTTTCCAGTCCAGCAGATCTTAGCCTCTGGCCTGTGTGCTACTTGGGGAATGAGGTTATTGACCAGGAATATGAGTGCCAAGAGGCCAGCCTCTGTGCAAGCTAGAAAAGGGTTTTTCCTACAGTTCTGAGGCTTTCTCTGGTCACCATCAGGATATAATATAACCTGATCTTTTCAGTCTGAAGGACATCCTGTTTTCTTTCTTTTGTGCCATCAGAAATGATCCAATATAGATAAGAAGAAAACTCTTGATTAGAGAGTAGTTGCCGCTTCTGCTAGGAAAGGAAGCCCAAAAGCATGATAACATAAAAACTCCTTCCACATGACAAAGGGTGAAAGGAAAGCAAAAGAGATGAAATGTTTCAGGAATTTTCTTGCTGGGTTGTTGCTATCAGAACCAAAAGGCTGACTTACCTCACAGGTCCTCTTCTGTTTGCAAGGCAACACAAAATGGCCACTGCAATATGGGTCACCAGGAACCCGAATCCGATACCCAGTAGAGTCCATATGTCTGGAATTTCAAACCCATGAAAAAGATAAACATGATTCAAAAAACTATTAACGATCCCAAGCCTTTTTTCAAGTGTAATGTTACCTACAATTCTGTGTGTACACGAATCCTGCACTAGAAGGGTTAGACCTGATGTGGCATCGATTTCCTGCCCATCCTTGTCTGCACCTGAAAAAGAAGAATCATGTGAGAGTTGAAAACAAAACAAAGACAAAAAGGAGAAGCCTACTTAAGCAGAACTGTAGTGGAATTAATGATGGTCAAGAAATCTGGAGATATGAGACAAATGAGAAAAGTGGCTAAGAAACCAAAATATTAAGCCAAATTAAAACATTACACTTTACTATGTTTGTATAAGAAGATTTTGTGGATTATCTTGTGGATTTTAAAAAGTGGATCTTGGCTTTTGCATATTTCACTTTTTGTTTGCAAATATTTACTCTTTTTTTTCTCCCACTTGTATCCATTCTCATTTTATCTTATTTGGCTCAAATTCAACAGCTCTCATACTGTGTCTGTCTTTATGTGTTCATGTCTGTGCATGAGGATGGGGACCAGTAGACAAATATCAATATTCCTTTGCTTCCATTCACCTATTTTTGAGATAGTTTCTCACTGGCCTGGAACTTGACAAATAGGCTCAGCTGGACAGCTAGAGAGATCCAGGATCCACCTGTCTCTGCCTCCTCAGTGCCAGGATTTTCAATACACCACCAAGCTCTATTTTTTGTTTAAGGTGGGGCAAAGGCATTGGCAAACACATTATTCCTTGCTCCTCCATCCTTCATATTTTTGGTAGTGACTAGATTGAGTTCTTTCAGATAATATAGTAATTCAAAGAATAGATCAGCATACATATAAACCAGAATACAAATGTTATTTCTTATAACAAACAGATGTTTCTTTAATAAGTTGGATTTGCAATTAATTTAGATCAATATCATTATTTGTACCTTAGCAAAAAAAAAAATATTCAGATCCCACCAAACTTTCATCACCTACTTTATTCAGCAATATAAATGGTAAAATGTCACACTGGAATAGATTATCCTCAGAACACCAGAATCTGGAACCAGATTGACCTTCTAAAGGGCAATTTGTTTGTTTGTGACATGGTCTCTCTCTATGTAGCACTGGTAGACCTGTAACTCATTATTTAGACCCCACTAGCCTTGATCTCACAGAGATACACCTGTCTCTGTCTCTCAAGTGTTGGTACTAAAGGTTGGTGCCACCATGTCCAGGCAAACATTTTTATTTCTGAGTAACTTTTTCCTGGTATAATGAGTTCCCAAATGAGAGTGGAAGCTAATATCCATGTTCTTATTTAGCAGAAACGATGAAATAGAAACTAAGGTGGTTTGGGCTGGATTTCCTGCAAGTTTATTGTATGTGCTACAAAATTTTAAAATTAACTTTTGAATATGTGTTTAAAGCTGTGTGTCAGGAGCATTGCTCACTGTGCTGCCTAATTTTATGTCAACTTGACACAAACTAGAGTCATTGGAGAAGAGGGAGCCTCAATTGAGAAAATGCCTCTATAAGATCAGGGTGTAGGACATTGTTGAGAGAGCCTACCCTATTATGAGTAGGGCCACACCTGAGCTGGAGATCCTGTGTTCTATATAAAAGCAGGCTGAGCAAGCCATGTGGAGCAAGTCAGTAAGCAGCACCCCTCCATGGCCTCTGTCTCTAGGTTCCTGTACTGTTTGGATTCCTGTCCTGACTTCCTTTAATGATGAATAGTGATGAGGAAGAATATGTCAAATAAATCTTCCTCCACAAGTTGCTTTGGCCATAGCTTTATTACAGCAATAGTAACCCTAACTAGAACACTCTGTAAACATATTTTCTGTAACTCTCCCTTTTAAATTTGAAAAGTTAGATGTGTGAAAGCAATTCCTTCTCAAAAACTGAAATAATTAAATTTAAAAACCCTATTTACAGGTTGTAGAACATCATTAGATTGTTCTCCTTTGTTAATATTCAGTAAAAGTAAAACTCAAACACAATTTGATAATTCTGAAGTTTCTAAAATTCAAATGAAAATAGATATATTGAATTTGGAGTATTTAGTTTCTATTCTCAAAATACTTAAGATTGTGAGTCTTTTATGTTCCCTTCTCAGTCCTCATTCAACAGTATGAATGCTACTAGGCAATCTTTCACACGTGTGTGCTGATGTGACTTATAGATACTTTTGTGTTCTGTCAGTTCTGAGATCATTATTAACTGGATTACTTCAGACTCTGAAAGTTCCATACTCCTGGTGTCAGTACAAAATCTCTACTTTAAGCAAATACTACATATTTAAATGTGTCTACTGAGTTCAGTTCTGTGGAAATATCTGAGAATGCAACTTTAAAAAAATATGGGGAAAAACCAAAGCACATGGAGAGATAACATGGATGAGTCTCATCAGCTGTCTGAATGTCTGTGTATCAGTTCATCATCTTTCTGTGACTGCTGTCCATCTATTTGCATATTTAGTTAGATTTACATACAACCTGGAGAAGAGAATGTGGAGGGGACAAAAGGAGAAACATTTACTGGGTTGCAGAAAGAATTCAGGACACTTAATGTGTTTCCCAAAGGAAACCTTCTCTATGGACAAAACAGTGTCTGAAGTAATTATGGAAATTTGATCCCTAGACTTCTGTAACTTTTCCATGACAGGGTGGTCCTCTGCTTTTGAACCAGATTCTGAAGACAACATTTATACCATGACAGGATGGTATCTGCCCATCCTTCCGACAACAGCACTGAAGTAAGTTTCCCTGTTGCCTCTCCTGGAGAACTGCAGTCAGGAAGTGAAAGAAGAAAATACCCTCTGTTCTAAACACAGGAGAGTGGACTCATTTCCTCCAAGCTTACCATAAATCCCTGTTTAAAAACCATGAGGATGTTTTTAAAAGAAAATATCAGCATCACTTTCATCATCATTTTTATGGGAGTCTTTCTCATTACGGAGTCAGTAAGACTAGAATAACAGATGAAAAATGAAACAATGTCTAATACTCCAGGATAAAGACTGTGAATTTAGTGTTGTAGGGGTGATTATATGCTTGTCAGAGGTGAAGGGTTGAGGCCCTTGTGGGAGAAATGAGGCAGGAAAAGTGGACCCATTGTGGGAGTGGAACTAGCTTGTTTTGGTTCATGGCTGAGCACCAAAGAAGAACCACCCAGACAGGGACAGTCTAGTTACAGATAGAATCTGGGTGTACTGTCTAGTGGCTTGGCAGGCTTGGGACTGTTGCATAATGGCCTGAGGCTAGAGACTTGTTCCAACAGGGAATAGGACAAAGATTCATCATACACCTTGACAATTAAAGACCAAAATGTTCCTCAGAGGAAATTATTCAGCTACTCTATGTCTAGGCAAGAGGGAAAGCAAACACGGTTTTACCTGTTGTGCACTGAAGGCCATGAGCTATGCTAATATAATTTATACAATTCTAATTGAGGATGCTTGAATCGTGACGTCTCTCCCTGCTTCTGTTCTTCCCTCCCTTCCTTTGTGCATGCATAGCTCCCTATTTTTTTCATGCCAAGAAAAAAGGAAATGGGTTTAAATCTTTGAATTTTTAATTATGTTATTTTTAAATGCAGTCATTTTACATCCATTTACTGTGAATAAAGGTGGACATATGAATATATATATACACACATACATATATATATAATTTATTTAGTTTTATACATCTGTTTTAACAGTTACTTTGCATATATATGTGCATTCTGATGTGCATATATATATATATATATGTGCATATATATAATCTATTTATTGTGTGTGTGTCCATGTCCTACATTTTAATCTTCTTCTTACAACTCTTAATGTTCCTATGACACAATTATAGTGAGCATCATAGGTAACTGATTCCCCCAAACCCCCTGACATTAAACTCTGTAGCTTTCCTTTGGTTTGGGTGGAGTGGGACCCATTTGATCACTGGCAATGCCATGTTCTCCTTACAATGCTACGGGCATCAGCGTACAGATTCCCAGCCAGCAGCGGTGGGTCTATAGATAGATATGAACAGAAGTCTATGCAAGTACTTGGTCACAGAGAGTTACACTTTGATGACTATTTATCCTTGCAGACTTTCTTTCTCAATTCTGATATGAAACAGGAAGCATGCTTGAAGCCCTTTTGCAAGCTCAGAGAGTCCCCTTGGTATTGTTTATCTGGAAAGGCCATTCTGAGGGTGGGGTTGACTAACAGGAGGCAGTCTGTGAAATCTCTGAGAGACAGGGAAATGGTGATTAACTCTGCAGTCTCCTTTCAGTTCAAGGTTCAATTCTCCACAGTTAGGCTTTTGTATTTGAGTCAATAAATGTATTTTTCATCTTGACCACTATAATTTCAGATTTAATTTTTAATTTTATTTATGTGGGTCTGTGTGAATATCTGACACATGTTTTCTGAACCCACAGAGGCCAGAAGAGGGCACTTAGGTCTTTCGAACTGGGATCATAAGCACTGTGATCCAAGCTTTGTCCTCTGGGAATGGGCAAGAGCTGTGTGCATTTTCAATATATCGCTAATTAGATCTGTGATTTAGCATTGTAAAAGGCAGGCCTGTGTGCTTTCATAAGTGTTTTTATACTAACAAGTTAGAACTATTAAAGGAAATGAACACCTGCCACTTTGGCTAGGAGGATCCAGGACCACTCCACATTTATAGTCCACACTTAGCATATTACAAACTAGGACATATCTCTCATTTCATCCTTCACAAGATGAAATCATGGAGAAAACGAGTTTAAATCCCTAAGAAAAGCATGTTGAAAAACTATCCACTGTGGCTTCTCAGACTGTTTTGTGGTGGCCACACATGTTTTCTTCCCATAGCCTATCTCAAGTTAAAATACGGAGTGTAGTTAATGCAGTAGTGCTTGGTACTATACTTTGTATTTGTTAGAAAATCACGATTCGGAGAAATTTCTGGTTTGGGTGGTCTGATCATATCCATTTGTCTCATTAAACCTTACCTGGAACATCTGGAAATACAGAAATATATAGCACCTGTAGGGCTGGGAAGATGAGGACAGAGAGAACACTGTATACCTGGTGAACATCTGCTGTTTCCTGGCTCCATGGCTTTATGAAATCCAGACTCAACAGGCTCATTCATAAAAATCCACAATGAGAACTTAACAGACTT